GGCTCTGGGTGAGGTGATGGCTCTCGAAGTGGAGGAAGTGGAGGCTGCTCATCATTCGTACCATCAAGAAAACGCTGACTAGCTTGCCACTAATCAGTGGCAAGCTCAGCCTCCGTGGGTGTCAGTCTCATTAATGGAATGTTGGTATCCTAAAAATATAAAAACTCAAACAAAGTTAAACGTCTACTATTAATAACTTGTTTATATATGATAGTATTTGTGTTAACTTACATTATTTATTGTCGCATATGGTATTAAGTCTTCCCAATCCAACAGACGTTTCCTCTTCCAGGAAATAGCCCTGGGAATATCATTTGAAGTTTTTATTGCATATGTCTTCATGGCGGGAAAGGCCTCGAATATCCAAATCTACAAACAATATAATAACAAACATTAGTAATTGTTAAATAATTAATTATAATTTTGAAAACATTATATAGAAATTCTTACCTTAAAGGCCCAAACAAAGCCTGACAAAGTGTATTTCGACCCATCGCCCCGCAAACTTTTGCGGTCATCAAAGGCAGACGACAACTTAGTCCAGGTAGCTTTCCATATATACGAACCCCACGGAAACAGATTCCATGCATTTAGGTCCTCTACCAATAATATTAGCTCCTGAGGAATAGGTTGTCTGGCCTCTCTGCCTAAAAAGCCGGCATACAAAAGTAGTAGAATGCATACTCGGACAACATCGACGTCATTCATCCGAGTAAAACCATCTTTCTTATTAAACAATTTCTTCATGTCGTCAACGTGTAAGTTTGGCTTCTCTATTGACTCATCAGGAAAAACCCTGGATAACCATGATGGGCAGGTGATATGACGAGTGTACCGGCCTATATCATCGTGTCCGAATCGTAGACCAGTGATTAAGCAGAACTCCTTCCGCCCAAAACAAGTATACGCCGGTGGAAAATGAAACCATATCTCTTCCTCACCACGTTGTATACTGTCGGGTAGATCGCTAGTCATGGTCTGAAGCCACAAATGGGTCAAATTAGCATCTCCACCCGGATGTTGTACTCTCAGCCATGGCCCGAAGCAGGTTTCCTCAAACAATTTTCTTTGTGCAGGTGAAAGCTTCGAAGCAATTGTAGTGGCTAGGCTAACTTTATTCCTTAATGTCAATGAAGCCGAAAAAAATTTCTACAAAAACAATAAACATACCAAGTTAGATATACCAAAAACTACACTGTGAAGATATACCAAAAACAATAAACATAAATAGTAGTTTATTCTTGAAACTAAAATTTGCAACACTGTTTTGTCTTTTGGTTGAAATGAAAATCGCAACGAGATAATGAGAATCGCAACGCGAAATGAAAATCGCAACGAGAGAATCGCAACGCGAAATGAAAATCGCAATGCGATTTTGGTTTCGCGTTGCGATTTTCATTTCACGTTGCGATTCTCTCGTTGCGATAGTTATTTCCGCGTTGCGATTTTCATTCTCGAAACTATTCTTCTTTTGCATTACTTCAACCAAAAGACAAAACAAAGACAAATACTAACTTCACAGGCTAAACAGTTTAGCAGTATTGGCAACAATCGAATGAATTTAATAAGAAATCTAAGTGAAATGGTTAATCTATTATTGAAATTACCAGTAAACTTATCATCAATCTCAATATGAAAAACCTAAAATAATACAAAATTTTCAAAATAATAAATAAAAAAACTAACCATCGGAGGTTGATTTTCCGTTTCTGAATGATTGTGAGGGATTTCTGACTGTGAATGGTTGTGAGGGATTTCGCCGGCGATGGGGACGGAAATCTTTGGAGATGGGGATGGATTTCGCCGTAGAGAGTGAGAGATGGAGATGGGACTAAGTGTTGTGATTTTAGGTTTGAGGTTATGAGTTGCGATTATTGTGGACGGTTCAGTTTCCGATTTATTAAGAAAAAATTCGTGTTTGGAATTTGAAAAAAAAATACGCGTTAATACGAATGGCGCTATGTAAATCGCATTGCGATAGTAAGATTCGCATTGCGATTTACGTATTCGCATTGCGATTTTCCTAATTCGCATTGCGACTTACTTAATCGCTTTGCGATTTACGTATTCGCATTGCGAATTATGAAAATCGCAACGCGAATACGTAAATCGCAATGCGAATTAGGAAAATCGCATTGCGATAGTCATAATCGCGTTGCGAATCTGGAAACTGATTTGCGATAATGGAGATCACGTTGCGAATTAGCGATCGCATTGCGATTTTGTTGGTCATTTTGACAAATCCGGAAAAAGTTGGTTAAAATCGTATATTATATGGGATTTTTGGTCACTGAGGTTATTTTCTCTTTTTAATATCGTATTTATTTATTTATTTATACAAATATTCATATTCCAACACTTTTTTTTTATTCTTTTATTAGATAAAGAAAAATAGTGAAATTCCATCACTAGTCATTAAATGTCTTAGACTTCATAACTTGAACTCTAAAATTTATCTTATGTTTAATTTAGTCTCTACTTTCACTAGTATTTAAAATGTAAAAAATAAAAGGAAAATGAGAATTGAATAAACGAGCTTGTTGGTGAACATAAATGAACAAACACACCTTTGTTCATATTCGTTTGTTTATTAAATGAACATATAAATTATATTCATACTCATTTATTGAACTTAAAAAACGAACATTATACAAACAATTCATGAATAATTTATCTTTATAAAAAAATGAATAATTCATCAAACGTTATATTTATTTACACTCTTAAATCACTTCAGAGTTGAAATCCGTTCTCATAATTTTTATCCTTCGGAGACAAACTCCTCATGGAAGGAAGTTGACGTTGAACCTCAGTTCAATTCTTAGTCAACTTCGGTCAACATGTTTCATTTGCATAATTGCAGCTGGCAAGCTGCATTATTATTTTAAGTTAATAATTTGTTTAATTAAGTGTGTCAGGGTTCATGAATGTTGAAGCATGAGGGTACTTCATTATCGAATGAAGTTCCATGTATTTCATTGGATCCAAATTCAGAATCAGATTGCATAATTTCACTTGTCGTTTCATGTCTTGCACCCATGGAGCAGTTGCATATATATATATATCAGGATTTTGCAACTTCCATACTTGAGCAAGTTCTAGAGCTGCCTGGAAACTCACGACATGACAGCCAATCCAAGCTTGGAATGATGGTATGATGAACAAAACTCGACTATATATAATATCAAACCGGGTTGTTTTCAGCACTTCTACAAACATCTAATATCCAATTCACATTTCTCGTATAGCTCCACTTGCTTAAGGGGGGAAAATAACAGCCTCAACTGGCCATGTTCGTTCAAGCAGTTTGCCAACCAGTACTCATCCTCTGGTTCTAAGCGTTGCAGAGCAGCTAACCATATTGAAAGCGTCACAACACGAAGCATCTTCATCGATAAGCAACCGATTGAGTGGTTTAAAAGAATTGTACGGTTGCCCAAAGCTCATCGCGTTGAGCATTGGGAAGATGTGTTGGATGGATCTCTTAGAGTATTGGATGTGTGCGGCACCGTTAGAGATGTTTTGTCTCGGATGAGGGAAAGTTTGCAGGAGCTCGAATCTTCCCTCAGGCGAAGAACCGGACGAGAGTTCGGGTTGGAAAGTGAAATCAGAACTTTTATGGTCATCAGGAAAGAAATGAATAAAATGATCGGTTGTCGTTGTCACCGGAGAATGGACCGGAAATGTAAATCTATGGTCTTGGACAATGATACTGAAATGGTGGCTGTGGTTGCTAAGAGAAGCAGAGGAGACGAGTCTTTCGGTGTTTGATTCCATCCTATCTTTTCTTTTGCTTCCAAAGCTAAGATCAAAGCCTAATGGCCGGTCTATTGTATCGAAATTACTGTCCTCGAAACGAGCATCATGTGACCGAGTGGAAGCGAGCGAATTCGAGAAACTAGAAGCCGAGCTGATTGTCTTGAAGTCAAGCAAAGACATCAAAGTAGAACAAGTGCAAAAATTATTGAAGGATGTTGAAGCATTTCAAGGTACCATCAAAGAAACAGAGGAGGGTTTGGAGTGCATCTTTAGACAAATGTTGAGAACCAGAGTTTCCCCTTCTCGATATTCTAAACTGCTAATGTCCAACACAATTGTGCTCAGTTGTACAAATATATACAAACCGATTCCAATATATTGCAAAGTTTATCTAAAAATGCTTACATATCTCTAATGATTATATCTTTCATAATTTTAAAAAGTCAATATATCTTTTATATAATAATCAAATATTTAATTCATCAAATTTTATTTTCACAGAAAATATATTAATTTATTATCACTTGATTCAACTTGTATAATTTAAGTCCAACTAATTAGATTTAATAATTTTCATTTTTTTACGAAAATGAATCCGAATATTTTTTTCAAAGTCAAGATAAAAGCAAAGAAAATTCAAATTAGAATAATATAATATTGAATTGAAGGGCAAAACTTTTTTTTTTTGAAAAAAAACAAAATATAAATATTGCAAATTGGAAATTCTAGTTCCCCAAAGTGTCCTTTCGCGGTTTGTTAAGCCTCCATTTTATTTACCAAATTTGAGGCCACTAGTCATTCCCAGTCAGTATTCCCTCTTGGTGATGACCCAAAATCGCAAGAAAAAAAAATCTGAAGTATGGATTAGAATTTAAGAAGAAGATAAATATACATAAATAAACATATTGCATTATTTTTTTATGGCTTTGCCAAGCACTCCCAGACCTGTTAAACTGTAAGTACAACAGTGCCTTCTTTTCTTTTGGGACCATTGATTTGTCTTCATAATTGAATCATTACCCACAAAAGAGAGTGAAACAAGAGGTTATCTTCACAGCAAACAACAGGCATGGGAAAAGCTGCATTTGTTCTTGTTTTTCTTTGCTGTTATTTTCCTTGCAACTTATACAGAGTAAAACATATTGACAATGAAATCATCAGTCCCATTTTCAATCCACGGGGGAGTTTACAATTCACAGCCACATAACATTTCTTTTGAATAAAATACTTGCATTTTGCAGAGAGGACACTTTGTCCTCTTCTGTCTAATTTCAACAAGCAATCTCAGTTTGCAAAGATGAATTCAGCTCCAACTGTTCAGATTCACCATCCAACCTTGCCTTAGCAACAACTCCGTCGTGCATCGGCACGTATTCCTATTTCGACCAGAAAATAAAAAATATCATCCCGAATCCCTGGAGCGGATACATCAATATTATTAAGAATTCGATACCCCCACCTCGAGTTTTCGGACAAGTTCCGTTGCGGTTGGAGCGGAGACGACGATACGACGTTGTGATGGCTTAATGAAGCCATCATCCACGGCTTTGTCCAAGAAGTTGAGCAGATAATTATAGTAGCCATCCACGTTAATCAACCCAACCTGATGTCATCATACGAAACAAAAGAAAGAAGAGCTTAAAAATAAAAACAATAATGGATTCATCATGTTGAGATCAGACTACATGAAATGGCTTTTACAGGTTTGTCGTGGATTCCAAGCTGGGCCCATTTTATGACTTCTAATAGCTCTTCCAGTGTTCCATATCCACCTGATATTCAAAAACGATTAATAATATATAATTTACATAGGTAACAGGCACGAGTAGCTGTAATAATTTAATTGTACGACAGAGACCTACCCGGTAAGGCGATGAAACAGTCGGAATGGCGAGCCATTTCGGCTTTCCTTCGGTGCATGTCCGCAACTGGTTTGACCTCTCCGAATGTTTCCCCTGTTATCTGCTCAAACCGAAACAAAACCATGTCGAGTTCGTGTGCGAAAAGGGAGATTCAGATTAAGAAACAGGAGAGATTGTAAATAGTTTAAGAGACCTCTTTGCTCATCAGAGTCTTGGGGATAATTCTGTTGATAAAAACAAAAAACAAAAGAAAATCAACAAAGCATGTTAATCCAGTTTTGTAAAACATGTTTGCTGTTACCCTATAACATGTCCTCCACGGCGGTGAACCTCCTGAGAAACCAAACCCATTAAGCCGACACTTCCTCCTCCATAAACAAGATCCAATCTCCCGGAGACCTACAAATCAAAACCCAATAAGCAGGGCAGATAGGAAAGAACAAGGCTGGAGATGGATGGAATTACCAGTTCTTTTCCCAGGTCGAGAGCAGCATCACGATAGCAGTCTCGTTTACCGGAGCTGCATCCAAAGAATACGCAAACTCTTTTGAACCTGCTGGGCCTGTAAGTCACTGCTTCATTATTCTCCTCCTCCATATCTCATCGCTTTTTCTGTTTGATTGATTTAACTGGAAACTAAAAAGCTCAAGGTTAGTAGTTGTAGTTCCAAAGATTCTTGGGGGAGGAGGAGGACCCAATACCAAAAGAAGAACGATAGAACTATTAAAAGTCAAATAATTTAGGCATCAAATTAAGCATCAAATGGTATTTTGTCAAAGTAAAAAATTAAACACTTAATTTTTGTTGAAATTAGGTAATGAGATAATTAATTTTAGTCATTGTAATTTAGGGTATTTATAAGATTAGTCCTTAAGTTTCAATTATAAATATCCTAGTTCATTTAGTTTCAAAATCATCCCAAAACATTCTAGCTTTCTTCCAATACTAGAGAGATTTTAGAGAGTTTCTTGAGAGTTGTTTTCTCATTTTTTATCTAGAGATAATTATCATTGTTTTCTCCTTGGTAGATCGAGAGAGGTTGTAATTCCTATTTTCTCATAGTGAAATTCTTCTACCGTTGCCCGTGGTTTTTACCCTAAATTTTAAGGGTTTTTCACGTAAATTTTGTGTTTCCTTTTATCTTCATTTTTATTTTCTCAAATTATCAGTTGCGATTTTGCTCTATCCGATAGCCGTCTTCCGCAACAATTGGTATCAGAGCCAGATTTGAGTGTGTAATATCTGTTTATTGTCTTTGTGGTTGCCACCAAAAGGTAGATCCTCCAACATAAGAAAATAAGAAGGTATTACCCATTCTTTGAGGTTCTAGAAAACTATTCACGATAGTAAAATAGTGGGAGCTATCAATAATAGAAGTTATGGCAACGAAATTTGATATTGAAAAATTCAATGGGAGAAATTTCTCATTGTGGAAATTGAAGATGAAGGCCATCATGAGGAAAGACGGTTGTCTAGCAACTATCAGTGAAAGGCCAGTGGATTTCACAGATGACAACAAATGGATCGAAATGGATGGGAATGCTATGGCAAACTTTCATCTAGCATTAGCAGATAAAGTATTGTCAAGCATTGAGGAGAAGAAGACAACTAAGGAGATATGAGACCATCTCACCAAATTGTACGAGGTCACATCGTTGCACAATAAAATTTTCCTTAAGAGAAAATTGTACACTCTCCGTATGTCAGAATCTACTTCAGTGACGGAGCACTTAAATACACTGAATACTTTATTTTCTCAGCTTACATCCTTAAGTTGTAAAATAGGAGAACAAGAACGTGTTGAACTTCTACTTCAAAGTCTATCGGATTCGTATGATCAACTTCTCATCAACTTGACAAACAATAATGTCACTAGTCTATTCTTTGATGATGTTGCAGCTGCTGTTCTACAAGAAGAAAATCGGCGCAAGAATAAGGAAGACAGACAAGGAAATCTGCAACAAGCAGAAACGTTGACAACGATGACAACGATGAGAGAGAGATCAACAGAACGTGGCCAAAGCAACAGTCACAAACATGGTAGATCGAAGTCGATGAGCAAGAAGAATTTAAAGTGTTACAACTGTGGAAAGAAGGGTCATTTGAAGAAGGATTGTTGGAGTCTAAATAAAAACTCCAATCCACAAGGCAATACCGCAAACACTTCAGATGATGGAGATGCTCTATGCTGTGAAGCGTCAACCACCGTGGAAGGAAGAAAATGATTTGCAGATATATGGCTCATTGATTCGGGAGCAACATATCACATGACCTCAAGAAGAGAATGGTTTCATCATTATAAACCTGTCTTAGGAGGATCTGTTTATAGTTGCAATGATCATGCCTTAGATGTCGTTGTCGTGGGAACCATTAAATTGAAGATGTATGACGAAACAATTAAAGTTGTTCGAGATGTAGACGTATGGCAAGCACCAGTAACGTCCCTAGGTGGAGCAAAATACTTTGTCTCATTTATTGATGACTACTCCAGGAGATGTTGGGTGCACCCTATTAAGAAAAAGTCAGACATGTTTTCAATTTTTAAAATCTTCAAAGCGCGGGTGGAACTTGATTCTGGAAATAAGATCAAGTGTTTCAGAACAGATAATAGAGGAGAATACACAAGCGAAGAATGTGATGACTTTTGTAGGAAAGAAGGCATCAAAAGACAGTTCACAGTGGCGAACACTCCTCAACAAAATGGAGTGGCAGAGCGGATGAACAGAACCTTGTTAGAAAGAACAAAAGCAATGTTGAGGGATGCAGGCCTAGAAAAATCATTCTGGGCAGAAGCAGTCAATACCGCCTGTTATTTGGTGAATCGAGCTCCATCAACTGCAATAGAGCTGAAGACACCAATGGAGATGTGGACTGGAAAACCAACTGATTATTCAAACCTCCATATATTTGGAAGTATAGTGTACGTGATGTACAACTCCCAAGAAATTTCAAAGTTGGATCCAAAATCCAGGAAATGCAAATTCTTGGGGTATGCTGATGGAGTAAAGGGGTATCGCCTGTGGGATCCCACTGCCCGCAAAATGATCATTAGTAGATATGTTATCTTTGTAGAAGATAAACTACAAAGAAAAGAAGACGATGATAGCGTTGAAAAGTCAGAGACTACTCAGATACATGTGGAAAAAGAGTTTGAAGAATGAGATTCTTCTGAAGCAGAACCAGCACATGATGAACAAGAACCAGAGAGTTCTGAAGCTCCAACAACTCGTCAATCAGATCGTGTGAGAAGACGTCCCAATTGGCACTCAGATTATGTTATAGAAGGTAATATTACATACTGCCTTTTAACAGAGGACGGTGAGCCATCAACATACCAGAAGGCAATAAACAGCACAGATGCTTCACTGTGGATGATGGCGATGCAAGAAGAAATCGAAGCCCTTCATAAAAATAATACATGGGACCTTGTGCCACTACCACAAGGAAGGAAGCCAATTGGCAACAAATGGGTCTTCAAAATCAAGCGAAATGGTGACGATCAAGTTGAGAGGTATCGTGCAAGACTGGTGGTCAAATGATATGCTCAAAAAGAAGGTATTGATTTCAATGAAATATTTTCTTCTGTGGTTCGACTAACAACAGTTCGAGTAGTTTTCGCAATGTGTGCTACATTGAACTTACATCTAGAGCAGCTAGATGTTAAAATAACTTTTATTCATGGAAATCTTGAAGAAGAGATTTACATGATCCAGCCTGACGGTTTTGAAGAAAAAGAAAAGAAGAACTTGGTTTGTAGGTTGAACAAATCTCTGTACGGTCTAAATCAGGCGCCGAGGTGTTGGTATAAGAGATTTGATTCCTTCATTATGTGCCTTGGATACAACAGACTTAATGCAGACCCTTGTGCTTATTTTAAGAGGTCTGGTGATAACGATTTTGTTATATTGCTGTTGTATGTGGATGACAAGTTGGTTGCAGGACCCAACAAAGATTATATTGAAGAATTGAAGGCACAAATGGCTAGGGAATTTGAAATGAAGGACTTGGGATCAACAAACAAGATTCTAGGGATGCAAATTCACCGAGACAGAAGTAATAGGAAGATTTGGCTTTCACAAAAGAATTACTTGAAGAAGATCTTGTCAAGATTCAACATGCAAGATTGTAAGCCAATTTCTACCCCTCTTCCTATTAACTTCAAATTATCCTCCAGTATGAGTCCTAGCAGTGAAGAAGAGAGGATGGAGATGTCTCGAGTACCGTATGCATCAGTAGTGGGAAGTTTAATGTTCGCTATGATATGCACAAGACCAGACATTGCACAAGCAGTGAGAGTGGTTAGTCTGTACATGGCGAATCCAGGCAAAGAGCATTGGAATATTGTAAAGAGGATCCTCAGATACATCAAAGGGACCTCAAATGTTGAATTATATTATGGAGGATCAAACTTACTAATCAATGGTTATGTAGATTCTGACTATGCAGGGGATTTGGATAAAAGCAAATCTACTACAGGATATGTGTTCAAAATTACCGGTGGAGCTGTAAGTTGTGTTTCAAAATTGCAGTCAGTTGTGGCTACGTCCACAACAGAGGCAGAATATGTAGCAGCTACACAAGCCAGTAAAGAAGCAATTTGGTTGAAGATGCTATTGGAGGAGCTTGGGCACAATCAAGAGTATGTCTCTCTGTTTTGTGACAGTCAAAGCGCCTTGCATCTAGCAATGAATCCAGTATTTCATTCAAGGACAAAGCACATACGAGTTCAATACCATTTCATTCGTGAAAAGGTGGAAGAATGAACTGTAGATATGCAGAAAATACATACCAAAGACAACATAGCAGATTTCATGACGATGGTAATCAATGCTGATAAATTTACTTGGTGTCGATCCTCCTGTGGCCTGTCAGAAACGTAAGCAACATGAAGGTACAAGGTAGAAAGAATGGTGTGAAGATATGATTATTCCAATCAAATCTTCAAGTGGGAGATTGTTAAAAGTCAAATAATTTAGGCACCAAATGGTGCTTTGTCAAAGTCAAAAATTAGGCACCTAATTTTTGTTGAAATTGGGTAATGGGATAATTAATTTTAGTCATTGTAATTTAAGGTATTTATAAGATTAGTCCTTAAGTTTCAACTATAAATACCCTAGCTCATTTAGCTTCAAAATCATCCCAAAGCATTCTAGCTTTCTTCCAATACTAGAGAGATTTTAGAGAGTTTCTTGAGAGTTGTTTTCTCCTTTTTTATCTAGAGAGAATTATCATTGTTTTCTCCTTGGTAAATCGAGAGAGGTTGTAATTCCTATTTTCTCATAGTGAAATTCTTCTACCGTTACCCGTGGTTTTTACCCTAAATTTTGTGTTTCTTTTATCTTCATTTTTATTTTCTCAAATTATCAGTTGCGATTTTGCTCTATCCGATAGCCGTCTTCCGCAACAGGAACTACACCATTTATAGCAGCTTCCCACACGTGGGATCCTATCCTGCCACGTGTCTCGAATGTTTTGCTTCACCAAAATTCTCCGACATGATATTCCTTTTCTTCCCGGTTCGAATCCATAGGTCACAACTCAAAAACAAAATCCTTAATTGCACACACCAACGGGTAATGTTTAGCTTGTTTCGTCGA